ATGTAGTTATGGCTCTGGGTGATAGCGGTGTTCCAATATCTCAGGGGCTGCCATAAAGAAAAGGGAGTCAAGCTATTTTCCAAAGCGCCTGGAGGCAGGACAAGAAGCAACGGGTGGAAACTAATCAAGGAGAGAAGCAACCTAGAACTAAGGAGAAACTTCCTGATAGAACAATTAACCAGTGGAACAACCTGCCTCCAGAAGCGGTGAATGCTCCAACACTGGAAGTTTTTAAGAAGAGACTGGACAGCCATTTGTCCAAAATGGTATAGGGTTTCCTGCCTGAGCAGGGGGTTGGACTAGATGACCTTCAAGGTCCCTTCCAACTTTACTACTACTACTACTACTACTACTACTACTACTATCATCATCATCATCATCATCATCATCATCATCATCATCATCATCATCATCATCTATCCTGGAGTGAGTTCTGTGAGAAATGGCTGCTTTAATAGTAGGTTAATACTAATAGTAGGATTAGGCCAGAAATGGAATGCAGTAAGGGAAGACTTTCTGCTGCAAACTCTAGAAGATTGGGCCTAGCTCTCAGGTCAGCAAAAAACCTTTCCCGATGGCTTAAGAAAGTTGCAGGAAGCACCAAGCTAAACTGCCAGAGCCTGTCTTAGACAACCCCTTTTTTTAATCAGCACCTGTCTTAGGCAACCCTTTATTACTTCAGAGTAGTGCCCCTAACATGGAGAAATGGAAGTTGGCTGCCCCAAACTAGCCTTAACTATGACTTCTTTACATCCATAAGTGTACAACTGTACACTATAGTCCACGGTTTACACCCAACCATGCCTGGGTTCACAGGCTAACCCCAAATCAGAGAAAGCAGATAAGCACTTTAGCGTGGTGTGTGAATTCATACTGATCTAACTGAGGGCAATTCCTATACATCAAAAGTGAGGGCAGAATGCAAAAAACGGGGCTGTCTATTCAGGCTTTGTGCGAGATAATCAATTCTCTGAGCATCCTCTAAAATAAAACTGATGTCTCATCTGCCACCAGTGACACTGGATCACAAGCAGGATGACCCAGAAATGGAGCCATAAGCAAAAGGGATTCTCTTCACAACCTGTCAGAATCGCTCAGCCATGCAGAAGTGTGGTGGGAAGCTAAGCTCCAGGCCTGTCATATTTAAAGAAAAGCTGCAGAATGGGAGGGAGGCGAGGCAGGGTTGGAGTGCTACATACAGTATACTCAGTTGGGGGCCCAAATAGGCTATTTGGCTGCACCTGATGCGTGCAGGTCTGATGGAAGGCTGATCTCTCTATAAAGACGCTTTGTTCTCCCTCGCTAGTAATATTTAGGTTGACAGTTGGTACAGGCTAGTTCAACAGATTCAGATTACGAAAACACGTGAAAGAGATATGCTTTTAGGCCCAGTGCCCAAAAAGGATTTGCACCCCGCTCCCCAAAGAGAAGTAGGCACACTGCTCTCTAAGCTTTTATCTTTCTTAATGAATAACTCTAGCTTTCCACCTGATCTCCAATGTGAATTCGTGCAAATATTCCAAGTTCAGGTTTTGGCAAGCAACCCAGAAGGACGAGGCAGGAGTGAATTATTTGGAGAATTCAGAAATAATAACGCTCAAATCCATCCCCCGGCCTACTCCAAGCCCCAATCAAAGTAGCACTCCCCCGCCCAGAACTTTTAAGTCCTTCTCAGTTTTGTCATAGGTAAGACAAGACTATGTTACGTTCCCTTGGTATATCTCAATTTAAGACAGTGGTTCTCAACCTTTTTAATGCTGCGACCCCAACCGGTCGTAAGCCGAGGACTAAACCGGTCGTAAGTCGAGGACTACCCAACCGGTCGTAAGTCAAGGACTACCCAATCGGTCGTAAGTCGAGGACTTTCCCTGCCCGGGAGCGCCGTGCATGCATGGTTCCGCCCCCTGCGCCGGCCGAGGCGTAGCTGGCAAGCGGCAGAGACGGAGCAGGCCGACCACCAGCTGGCCCAGCCCAAGGGAGGTAAGGCACCCGCTGGAAAAGGGGGAAAAAATGGCAAACAAAAAAAATGGCGGACAAAAAAAATGGCAGACAGCCTTGCTTGGCGACCCCCATGAAATGCTCGATCGACCCCAAATGGGGTCCCGACCCACAGGTTGAGAACCACTGATTTAAGAGGTTTTGCTTTGGGTAATTTGGTCAATATGCTCTTTCTTGACTTAAAAGAAAGGTGTTTTTTTGCCCAATCTCCCAGCTTTTCCTTATATTACTATTCTATCCCAGTCATTTTCACTCTCTATCTTTAAACAGGAAGATGCCTTTTGTACTTCAGTCAACAAGCCCTTCCGTTTCCAAACCCTTCACTTTCTCTCAAGACAGCATAGCCATGGTAGCTTTAAAATCTTATTCCTATGGTTTACATCTGTGGGGACTCGTGTCCCACCTCTGCCCGTATCCCTCAGTCGAAATCTTGAGTCTCCGGGCGGCCCCCAGGCTCTGCCAATGTTATGGCAATATGATCAGCATCTCCTGGAAAGGGCTGGTCACATATAATGGAGGTAAGAATACTACACCACGATGGGATCCTGGGGAAGAGGCGGGATATAAAGCTCATACATAACACCAGTCAATTGTTACCACAGTTATAAATTTACCACACAAACAACTGGGAGAAATTTCTTTCTGCTTGCTTTCAGGCTTCTTCATCATCCGCTTCGGTAGGAGATGAAAACCTCCCAGAGAGCTTGGGCCAATAATGCAAATGGAAACACACAAGCAGCAATCTCACCCCGGCTGCTAAATCATTTTCTGACTTGATAATCATGTGCCAGAGGGAAATGAAAGTCCTACAGTCAAAACCCGGCAGGTTAAACATTATTCAACTCAATGTACAAATTGCGTTAAAGAAACAAATAAAAAGGCAATACTTCAAAGACTAATTCAGGAAATAACACTATATGAGATCTCTGTTATTGTGCAATACTGGAAAAGTGCTATCCGGTGTGCCTTCTGTATACAGAATCTTCAAATCCATATGAACTACAGGCAGTCCTTGGTTAACAATGGTAATTGGACCAGAACTTCCCTCACTAAGCATGTGGTCATAAAGCACAACAGCACGTAACCACAATGCTAAGCAATGGCAATCCTGGCACTTGCGGTTCTTGTCATTAAGCAAGGATTGCAGGCAGCTTGCCAGCAAATGGGCAGACCAGGCGCAGCGCAAGGTGCGATACATGTGCAGTGGGACTGGGGATGGCTGCTGCTGGGTGGGGGAGGGTGCATGAACAGCCTGTGAAGCGTTGCATCATCCCTCATCCCACATTAACCCGATTCCAGTTTGTACCCTTCCCTGCCGGCTTTCCAGAAGCAAAGTCAATGGGGAAGCCTGTAGGGAAGGTCGCAAGTTGCTCCAGTAAGTTACTTGTACTCTCTCCCATTGGGCACAAGTGCAGCGGGACAGGAAGGTTGCAAATAGCAATCATGTAGCTGCGGAACGATGCCAGAATTCTAAGTGCGAATCAGGTGCCGGGCACCCAGATTATGATCATGTGGCCATGGGGGGGTGCTGCAATGGCTGGATCTTTGAGGACTGGTCATCAGTACCACTCATTCATTAACTTTAAACAGTCATTGAATGAATGATCATTAAATGAAGACTACCTGTAATACTGTGCTATCCTTTTACTATGAGTGTTTTGATTCAGATTTCATACCGCTGGATTAGTTCAACTTTCTACTTTTAATGTGGGATTACAACCTCCAAACTAATACGTGACACCCTTCCTTCTGGGTGTTTCTTTACAGTGGTAGATCCTGGATGTTGTTTAACACCTCTCCATCCCAGTCAATACTCTGATAGCTATGCATGGTGGGATCAGTAGCCCAACATCAACTTGGGACAAAAAGTTGGGTCTATTGTCCACACTCAATGATGTTTCGTTACGCTTATGGATGATGTCATTATGCCCCATGCACAACTCAAAAACTGTTTTCATTCTTTTTCCTTTGCTTATGGGGCAGCTGTCCTATAGGTGAGGAAGGACAGTAATATGTCTGTAAGAAATAGCATATATTGCTAGTCCTGGCATAATGGCACAGATATTGGACTAGGGCCAGATTTAAGTTCCCTCCTAGCCATGGAATCTCTCTCTCACTGCAATTTTGTCTCATTGGATTACTCTTGTGGGGGATAAAATGAAGCCAGATCCCCATAGAAGTTAAGTTGTGTTCTTGGAAGAAAGATGGGATGTACATCTAACAAATAAATAACTGCATAAACAGCTGAATGTTCAATAGCATGCAACCTACGCCACCTGAGTAGAAACAGGAAATCAGTACACGTGCATTGCCATTCCTTCATGGTAGCCGGATCAAATGTTACCAAATAATGATAGCCAGCCATTATTTCTGGAGGAAACCTGAGTTTCTCCAGGATTTAAGATAGTGGTACTTTGTAACTGGGAAGGCAGGCTTTACCTACCCCTACCACTAGAGTCATATGAGTTGGGTGATACAGAAATACTTGAAATAAATCAATCAATGATTAGATGAATGATTAGAAAAATATGGCTGCTCAAGTATTGCAAGTCACCGTCCTAAAGGATAGCAACTATCTTGGGAATGATAGCCGCAAGTTTGGTATTTTCCCTGTACAACTATGGGATTGAAAAACAAGGAAACCATTTTCCCTCCAAAAAATCAATGAAACACAGAAGGAAAAGTGATGAGAAAAGAGACAGGAAGCATCAACCAGCATATTCCTCTATTTCAGAAGCTTTTATCTCCCTTTTAAGCATCTTGAACTCCATTTTCCTAGCCGGAGCGCATAGCTGTTTCTTCCAAATGGAAAAATGCAAACACTATTATGGCTATCCGACAGCCTCCAAAAGCAAACTTTTATTCCCAATTGCACCTGAATGGAATGAATGACGTTTAAATGACATCATGAACATTTTTACCACACAAAGCACCAAGGGAAAATTGCAGTTGGAAAGAAACAATGATAGCATAATCAATAGCACAGTTAACTTTCTTCTTACCTCATTGATGCGGATCTGCTGAAGCTCTTGTTCGGCTGCCGTCAGAGGAGCTGGAGCAGAGTAAGAAGACACATGCTTCTGGTAGCCACTGAGAGAGATGTCTTCCTGTGGTCCAACAGAAAAGCAATCACAGGAAAAGCATGAAACTGGGTTCAAAGGAGAATATAGGATACGTTCTTAAAATGGCTGCCTTAACTGGTCTGGTTCACCACAAAAGTGCCAACCAATGAAAACTGGCAAAATTGTTCTTTACAACCTCCTCTAGCCTTGCAGAACGTTGCCTATTATCTCAGCTCTTCTTTTTTGTTTAAAAGGGTGCAGGGAAGAGCTCTAAAAAAAAAAAAAAGACTTGAGCTGCAGCTCTCCTATATTTACTTGGTAAGAAGGCATTTGGGAGCTCTATGAGGATCAGAGGCCTTCTGGGAACTACAAAAGATGCTTGAGGTTGGCGTTCTATAACATGGTAGTTTTCCCATTCATCATTAAAAATAAAAAAATTAAAAAAAAGAATCAGATGGAAGTAGGGAGCCTGAGAGATCCTGAAGGAAAGTCATTATATGTCATGGGTACCACTTGCATTATATAAAGGTCAATGTGCCATGACACATTTCTCAACGGATCTTCTTAAAAGAAATTTCACTTGCTGAAGTCACCTGAGGTAATTTGCCTCAAGTCTGCCTTCATCCACTCAGGGTTGGGCCTTGAAGCTGCCCAGACTGGAAACTTTGCCTGACCGAAAACTGGGAGGCCAAGTTGGTTATGAGAAGAATGTGAGGAAATCATAGTACCATTGTGTTTATTGCACTGCACTGGTACTAACTTGTTTCTGGACTAAATACAAATTACTGGTCCTTACTTTAAAATTCTCCATGGCAACAGAGATCTGAAAGAATATCACTTTCAAGCTATTCCTCCATACTTCCTGAGATCACCTGGGAAGGTTCACCTTCAGGGTCCAGGGACTTGGCTGACGGTGACACAAAAACGTTAAAGATGAATTTTAAAGCCCTTCTCTATTGCTGCTCTTCATCGCTGAAATGCATTCCCTTTAGAGTTGAGCGGTCCAACACATGTATTAGCTTTTTAAAAAGTCCTCAAAATGCATCTTTGTCTTTTCGCTGTTGATTAAATGTTCATTTTATTAATTTTACTGGTTTTAGTTCTTTTTATGGGTTTTAACGCTTTGATTTTACATTTGTTTTACAGTACTGTAAGCCACCAAGAGACGTCAGTGATCCAGAGGCCTATTAAGTTCAGTAAATAAGCAACAACAAAACAACCCTAGTAGATGGTAGTAAAGAGGATAGCTGCTCGAGGATCTCACAATTATATTGAATGACAGAGCTCTGCAGAGAGAGATCCAGAATATTTCATTTATAGTACAGTACTGTATAATCTAATGTATTATCATTTGATGTGCAATACTGCCCCCTTCTGGCACTTTCAAAAAAACGTTCCAGGTCTGTAAGCATTTTCGATGGGTTTTCCGGACAATAGGTAAAATAAGCTTAGCTAGTTAAATTTTATATTGGACAGGATACAAAGCATTTAGATAATCAGTAATTCTGAGTTAAGAGCCAGACTTATGCCAATCCACACAATATGAAACTCCTCCTTTTTTTTTATCATGTTATGACTGTGTTTGAATTTGGACGGAAAGAGTCTAGGGCAGGGACTTGATGCAATGCATGCATTACAAATTTTTGCCTTCCAAATTAGTGAACTAGTATAGTCAGCAAAGCAGTCTAAAGACTTTGGGACCAGACTTCCTCTGAACTGAAGGTTGTAAACAAACAAAATAACTGAGGAAGGACAAAAGAAAAGCAGGCTAGAGACAAGCAATCTTCCACAGGATATAAATCAGAGGTAGTCAACCTTGGCTCTTTTATGACTCGTGGACTTCAACTCCCAGAATTCCTGAGCCAGCATAGCTGGCTCAGGAATTCTGGGAGTTGAAGTCCACGAGTCATAAAAGAGCCAAGGTTGACTACCCCTGATATAAATGGTCACCTCTCCTCTTACAGCACAAACAGATCACCTTGTGTACATCTTTACCTATCCCAAAGGTGCTTTTTCAAGAGGCAACTGGACTTCCTTGTTTTCTTTTGTAGACGAGTCCAGTTGCCTCTGGAAAAACCACCTTTGGGAAAAGCATGACCTGGATGACTAAGAATCTCCATAGACATCTTATGTCCTTGTCTCAAGTCATGTACGCAAGTCGCTGCACTCATTTGATCAGGGTTTCAAACTGAGCATGCACTGCAAGGATGAATCAGACAGGACCTCTATGCACCTTCATATGGCAAAACAGAAGACACAACTCAAGTTCTTTTTTCAATGAATGCAGTCAGAATCCTTGCAATCTTAAACCAAGCCCTTCAAAATGAGTAGCGGTGACGAATGCTAGTCTGGCTTTTAGAAGCAGGACCCCAAACCTCAACGGTTACAACTCTGATTGTCCTGATCTCAGCGGATATGACCAACTGCCATACCTTTGCTGTCCCAAAGAGTTCATCCTTGATGTGTCCTCCTCCAAACTCTTTCTTTACTGTTGCTCGGGTTGCTGCATAGAGCATCTTGAGTCTAACCTTGTTGCACAGAGAGAAAGAGAAGAGAATATGAACTATGGGAAGACATTCATGGCTGCTAACTATTAGAACTATCCAGTTCACAGTGACAAAAAAAAAAAAAAAAGAGTTGCAGGATTATTTATGGTTCTGAAACCCATCAGGAAGGATTTTTCATATTTGGAATTGCAGGGAACTTTTTTAACCAATATTTATATCAAAATGAATTTGTTAGCTCTGTCTTCCCCAGAAGCACCTTCTGGATGTGTTGAGCAGCTCCCAGAATTCCCCAGACAGCACGGCCAGGCTGAGAATTCTGAGAGCTGAAATTCATACAACTAGAGGTCTCTTCCCCAAGACGGACAAAAGCTGTGCCAGCTTTTAAATATAGTCACAGATTGCTTAACCCATTATAACAAGACTAAACATTAACAGCTCTTTGTGACAAGATTTGTAGTGCTCAGTCTTCTCCATGTACATCTTTAAAGGTATTAAAATAAAGACTGGATACTAATATAAATGGACGGAAAGTATTTTTCTTTCACCCTGAACTTCATTAAGTAAGCAAGCAAGCAAGCAGGCCTTCGAGTCAACTCCCGATGACTTCATGGAAGGTCCATGTAGTTTACTTGGCAGTTTAACCTGCAACCTTGGGATTTCCGAGTGATCTCTCTCCAAGTACTAATCAGGTGGATTCTTCCTTGATTCAGAGATTACAGAAACTTGATTACATGCTACAACGTACCTGGGCAAACGTCATTACTTCTCATAAAGAAGTAATCCAATTTGTTGGATTGATACCATTATATCGTAGGCTTGTGAAACCTGGGGCGAACACCACTCAGAAGCTACTGCTGATCCAGACTGTAGCATGACAATAATGGGAATATAAGACCCCTGCTAGGTAAGCTGCACTGATTACCAGTTGCCTTCAGATGCAATTCAAGTTGCTGGTTTTTTCTTACAATGCCCTACACAGCATAAAGTCTAGCTATTTGAGGAACCAACTGTGTCCTGCAGAATCTGTTTTCTTTTATTCTCCAATGGACTTGGCTTGCTTCAGGTCCCATCAATGTCACCTAGTGAGCCTCTTCTGTCACTGTATTTGCCTTTGGAAAATCATTTCCCTAAGATTTGCATGGTCTCCCCACTTGCTCATTTTCAACTGTTCTCTAAAAACCGGTTCTTCTCCCAAGCCTTGAGTTAAGATTATTACAATTGCCCCTTTACCCCAGATCTAGAAGGGTGGTTTGAAAAGTTATTGTTTTAGTGGAATTGTTGTTCTTTTAATTTTGTGAAGCCACCCACAGTTATTAGAAGTTGGGTGGCCTTGATGTTTAATAAACAAATAATGTAGTCTTTACCAATTTAGTGACTTCTAGTATGTTGGAGTTTAATTTTCATATTCAACTAGTAAGATTAGGTAAAACAGTTCACATCTGAATTGTTTCAAATTCAGAATGTCCTGTTTCAAAGTTGAAACAGCTGTATTACTTCAGAAACAATCTGCTTCAATCATCTGGGGAAAGTTCTGAGTTCCAATTGATCTGTTGAGCTCCAAGCTCTTCCATTATGATTGAGAGAGCCTGCACTGAATTAGGAAAAACCTGTTCTATATTTACAACAACTAACTCTAAACCAAGCAGCTTTGCATACATGATTACCATGGTCAAACTCTATGCCAGGGGTCTTCAAACTTGGCCCCTTTACGACTTGTGGGCTTCAACTCCCAGAATTCCTCAGCCAGCGTGCCTAGCTGAGGAATTCTGGGAGTTGAAGTCCACAAGTCGTAAAGGGGCCAAGTCTGAAGACCCCTGATCTGTGCTGACTGGAGATTATGGGAATCATTAACACCTGGAAAGTTCCTGGCTGGCAATGAATGCAGTATAGATTAAACCAAGCGTCTTCAAACTTGGCCCTTTTATGACTTGTGGACTTAAACTCCCAGAATTCCTTAGCCAGGAACTGAGGAATTCTGGGAGTTGAAGTCCACAAGTCATAAAAGGGCCAAGTTTGAAGACCCCTGGATTAAACAGATATAAGGCACATGCAACCACCATTCATTGGTGGTTTTATATTGGAAAAGGGAAGTAGAGCAACTTCAATGTTTCTGAAGAGCACCTTGCATATTTTTTATCCTTCAGCAGAAACCGGATGTTCTTAACCTGTATTCCATGAATAGGAATAAGTTGAAAGCTTACTGGAGAGTTGTCAGGTGACCAGGAGATGAAAAGCCACTCATAGCCCTGTGCATTTTGGGTGTCCAGGCGGTAAAGGATATAGCATGGTTGCAGTTCATCTAGCAGAGGAAGCACAAAGGAATCATAGTCCTTATCCCAGCGCCGAGATAGTTCTTTGGAGGCTCCAAGCACTAACTGCTCTGGAAGTCAAGGTAGGGTGAGAGGAGAAAGAATTAATGAGTAAGCAAAGGAGATATTACATTTGATATATCACTATGCATCAAATCTTTATTTAGCGTTAGGATGGAGAACCTGAAGCTATCCTTCCATCTACCATAGACAATTTATTTAGTAGTGAAGGATGATGGGAATCAACAATATTTATAGGGCAATAGATCTTCTATCTTTATTCTGAGTAAAGGCTGGAGCACTAGAGATCCCAGGATAATGTGGAATAGTTCTTGTTTCTTGTTAGCGCTGTGAAAATCCTGGGTTTCCTTCTCTGTGGTAGCCCCCAAGTTTTGAAAGATGTTTCCCGTAGAAATATGTTAAACCCACTTTTCCTGCATTTCACAAGATAATCAAACAGTACCACGCCCGAACAGACTGTGGGTGTTCATCTTTGTGTATGCATGGATCAAAACAATCCAATTTTTATTACGATTATAGGCAGCACAGTGTGTGCGTGGGTGTTATTTTTTAATTGTTAGTGTTCTGATTTAGTTTTAATTCTTGCTTTGATGTTATCGCTCAAAGGCTTGACTGGTTGGGAACAGAGCAGAGTTTGTTAGTCAAACCTACTGCCAGTTTTCTTGGCATAAAACTTTAATGTGCATGTTAATGAAAAAGAGAATGAGGTCTGCCAAAAGAGTGCACCAGTATAATATACTTAACGAGACAGACATTAAGGTAATAAATATAAAACAATCTGTCACTGCTCTGCCAACAGCCTTAGCCCCAAAGTTCAATGTTCAGGCTGCGCTCGCATGAAAATATGGACTTCTCCCTAAAGCTGCTAAGTCAACATGATGACACCATGGCTGGCTTTTGTATTAGAATAGATTCTGCCTCCGCTGTTAATAGAATCCAGTGGCTTTCCTCCTTAGTTCGTTCTTATACGTGTGAAGAACAAACAGTCTAAAGGACAAGAACTTGTGTCTTCCTCCTTCCCCAAATTGTATGATCAGAAGACTGAGAGTTTCAAAATAAAATCAACCCCCACCTTATCATTGCTGTTCTTTTCGAAGAACACCTACGCTTACTAGAGTTGTAGTGCTTCAAGAAGTACTTTGGACCATTAAAAAAAAAACAATGATACAGCTCCTTTATGAGCAGATTCTACAAAGCAGAACCGTCCCTTTTTTTTTTGCACGAAAGATCAAAAATATGATAAGCTATTCAAGGAAGAAAAAAATATCATAATCTGGTAATCCTGATAGGTTACAAAAAAGAAGTTTATCATTATGGGCTACTTCTTAGCAACAGAGCACACACTTTTTTGAACGTTACAAAGGGACCACCACAAGCATGAACATTTATTTATTTAATATGGCTATTCGTCTCACAAAAGTTACTCTGGCCAGCATACAAGGATTAACATGATAGTTACAAACGACGACTCATGATGCCCAATATAAAGAATACTTTTCAATCAGAAAAAAATCCTATATCAACAGCAGAGTTTTGCCTAATTTTCTGGCTCAAACATCTACCATTAAAGCACTGAGTGAAGGACCAGTTTTATCCAATGCAAGGAGTGACTTTGTCCAGCAGAATTTTTTATTCAATATAAGTAGATTTATTGCTTTCTGAAGGGAGGGAAAACCTGTTTCTAGATTTCTATAGGAAGTATAGCTACACACAGTTGGGGTGTCCCATGTGATTATTCTGAAATAAAAACACTAGCTCTTTGTTTCAATATTTTAGCCATAATTCTGACAGGAACCACTTGGCAACCATTTTATGTGACTGAGCAATATTTGTCTGTTGCATCATCTATTTATAGTATTACACATTTTTCTAAGATGACAAGATTGGGCAGTATGCTTAGGAAGCACCAGATCTTATAATAACTCATTCTCGTATTTCTTCCTAATGTACAGAAAAAAACAAAGTCCAGAGAATCAAAGAGTTTGCCAGAATAACTCCCTCATAACTCTTTGAGAACCTTTTTTTTTACTTGACTCATGATGTACGATTATGGATGACGATTAGCTATTCTCGGGAATCTTGACCCCCCCTTGGCTGTTTGACTCCTTTACTTATAGTAAAACCTCTTGTTCCTTTTTGAACCATTGTTCTGACCCCCCCCCCCCAGTTTCACAAAGTGGAAAAACTGGGCATTGGTACGAGAACCTTTCCTCACTTTCCTCTAACTGTGGCACCACCAGGCCCTGATAACTTCGTTTTCTGCCTCCCTCTGCCTTCCAGCCCATGCCTGAGGTTGCTTTAAATCAGTGTTTCTCAAACTTGGCAACTTTAAAACCATTCATTTTAAAAGCTGCCAAGTTGAAAAACACATTTAAAGCATCCTTAGCGTTAATATTGAGCTTTCCCTGCTTATTCCCATTTCTCTCTCGAGGATTCCGTCTGACATGCTCCATGACCACTTTGTTGGGATGCTGACAGGGGAGCCCTAGCAGCGGGGTCTTCCTAGGAACTAGTGCAGTGGTTCTCAACCTTTTTAATGCCGCGACCCCAACCGGTCGTAAGTCGAGGACTAAACTGGTTGTAAGTCGAGGACTAAACCGGTCGTAAGTCGAGGACTAAACCGGTCGTAAGTCGAGGACTACCCAACTGGTCGTAAGTCGAGGACTTTCCCTGCCTGGGAGCGCCGCACAGGCATGGTTCCGCCCCCTGCGCCGGCCGAGGCGTAGCTGGCAAGCGGCAGAGACGGAGCAGGCCGACCACCAGCTGGCCCAGCCCAAGGGAGGTAAGGCACCCGCCAGAAAAGGGGAAAAAAATGGCGGACAAAAAAAATGGCGGACAGCCTTGCTTGGCGACCCCCATGAAATGGTCGATCGACCCCAAATGGGATCCCGACCCACAGGTTGAGAACCACTGAACTAGTGGGTGCTAGTGAAAGCATGCCCCCCCCTCTATTCGTGTTCCTGAGCACCCTCCTCCAGGGCCATTCTCTTTAGGCAGTGGGGGGAGATGCATTAGTTCAACCCAGGCTCTTTCTCTGTCCCTTCTAGGTCAGGCTGAAAAGCAGCTGACCAGTGGCGGCAACAACAATGTTTGCTCAACTCCATAAAGCTGTTCGTTGCGTCAGAGCTATAAAACATATATCCTTACAGTATGAAAAGGATAAATCCAAGAAAGTTGCACCATATATTCAGAATGGAAAGGCTTGGTTTCAAGTCTCATCTGACCGTCACGTTAGGAATAACTTCATTGCACTGTAATGCAGGAATTCAAAAACAAATACCACCCTCCTAACTAAACAACCCAAAGAACGTAATGACCTGGGGCAAAAACAAAACAAAAACAAAGTCAAGATAATTCTATCTGCATACTTCTTCTTTTTTTCCCCAACTAAGGCTATGAAGAGTTTAACTGGCAGTAAAAGTGCTCTAATCAAAATTAGAGCACTTTTTTCTTTTCTAAAAAATAAATAGCACGTTACACTTACAATGCTCATAAAAACTATATTCAAGCTTTTCTCAAGGCTGTGATAGATACGTTTTTTCCGTCCATTTAAACACGTCTGATTGTTGGAGACTGCCTTGACTAGTCCCTGCAGTTTTCTTGGCAAGGTTTTTCAGAAGTGGTTTTGCCATTGTCTCCTTCCTAGGCTGAGAGATAGTGACTAGCCCAAGGCTACCCAGCTGCTTTTGTGCTTAAAGCAGAACTAGAATTCATTGTCTCATAGTTTCTAGCCTGGTGCCTTAACCATTACACCAAACAGGCTTTCTGTGGTAGAGATACATAAACCTTTTTCATGCACATCTGCGGAAATCAGTCTTCCACATGAATGTATTACCATGAATCTAGCATTCTGCTTCCCAGTCTAATTTCTGCCAACTTCCATTATGAGACCCCTGTGACCCTTTTTGTATACAGTGTAGTCATTTACATTCCAAACTAAGAGATCAGCAGCATCTAGTAGCTGAGAGGCAAACATGATAATGTAAAGATGTTATCCATGTTTCTCAACTTTGGCAACTTTAAAATGTGTGGATTTCAACTCCCAGAATTCTCCAACCAGCAAGGCTGACAGGCGAACTCTGGGAGTTGAAGTCCACACATCTTAAAGTTACCAAAGTTGAGAAACACTGCTGTATATTCTCTCTGAATAAAGGAAATAGAGCAGCATATCACAGCAGATAAGAGCTTGAACACCTGTGGCTTTTAAAAACTCTTCTTAGACATGTTTTAGTTACCAAACCATAATACTGCTGATAGTAATGAATGTCATATCAAGGATTGCTAGAATATTAAATTCCACTAATTTCATCTAAATCTCTGATGCTTCTTATAAAATTTTCAGATTATTCCATAATCTCAAATCATGCAAAGGCATACCAGGGGTTGATGTAATGCAGCATTATCTTTTCTGATTTCACTCATTCTCCAAAGGCTTATGAAAATATGTGTATTCCTCCCGCTTCACCTTTTTATGATGATCTGTTGGGTTTTATTTCACCTTTCCTTTAGAAATTCAACGTGCCATACAAAACATTCCCTCCTGCATTTTCTTCCTGGCAACAATGATCTGATCAGGTAACTAGGTTAAAGGACAATGCCAAAAATACCCACTAAGGTTCCATGCTTAGGGGTTCTCAATCATAGTTTAATATTCTAATTACCATCCTACATTATTTTCCACAGACACTAATGGTTAAGTACTCAGATACAGACAAGTTCAATCTTGTTTTTGCACACTGTTTTACAGTAAATCCTGGATGAAAGTGAATGTAAGTGANTTAAAACTCCTTGTGCACATTCTAGATTCCATTTTCCACGAAGTGTATTTTAAAATGTATAGACCTGGATGGACATCAAACGTTCAGAGAACTGCAAACAATAATTCAGCAAAAAAATAATTTCAGATATATACAGTAATTTTCAACTCCTAGAATTCTCAGCAATAGCCATGCTGTCTGGAAAGTGAAATGCATACTTTGGGAAGTTGTAATCTTTAGTGACACCAAATTAGTTCTGCCTTCCCTTCTAAAATTGGCAGACTTATT